TTAGATAATATTGGGGTGCTGAGCTGGTAAATGAATGAAGGGAATTCTCCTGTAGTGGGAAGGGACTGAGAAACAGTTAAGGGAGGAGAATTGGGAAATGCCCTCAAGCTGAAGCAATCTGCTATTGGGAGAGCAATAAAAAATCACTATAAGGCCAGAGACATCTCCAATAAAGGGCTCTTTGGGGAGGGGGCTGGAAGAGAGATGGAAAATGGATCAATCATTTTAGAGAAGTACTTTTGAAGCTGGTACTACCAAGCATCTCAAATACTGTATAGAAGTCTAGTCACTCATATTCAGGAAGGATAAATTGCTCTTGGCAGATAAAAATATCAGGGCATAGCAAAACTGTGATGTGAAAAGCAAAAGGAACTGCAAACTGAAAGCAGAGAAGGGATGCAACACTAAGAAAACACATCTTGAAGGTAAATTTAAGGGAGGAAGAAAACATTTTTTTCTCTTTTAAGCTGAAGAGCAGTGCTGTCACAAGATAAGATGGGCTTCAGTGAGGAGGAATACATTAACTATTGAAGTGCCATGATTCTAAGCAGCAAAACTGCTTCCTGAGTAATTTTAAGGTAAGGTATGAAAAGATTATGCTCAAGTTACTGAGAATGGCTGGTTCTGGGCATTCTGTCTCAAAATGTATCCTTTCCAGTCCTGTAGTAAATCTCAACTATCAAGTTGGCATTAACAGATTGTCAGAAAAAAAAAAAAGACGGGGCTACAGGGTAGAAAAGTAATGGGAAGGGAGAAAGGAGCTATCTCTTCAGTGGGGATATCAGCATTAAATGGTTTCCAAAATATCTAAATGTTTCACTCAAGACAAGCTATATTTGCTTTTCCTGAGAGATTAAGAGAAAAATCTCTTTGTTAATGACACCTTTATTAATGATGTGGTCAGCTGTAGTCAATTGCTTTGTAAAGGTATGTTCACCACAAGGAGAGGCTCCCATGTAACTTAGTCACAGATTTCATTACAGGATTAAGAAATACAGAAAATCACCTAAGGCTGTTTTTCTTCCATTAGGAGAAAAAAATACTAATCTTGAGGGAGAAGTCTAAAGCTTTCCTGGATGGAGGGGTGTAGCAGATCCCTTTCAGAAGTTCAATGGCTCCAGGTGAGCTTGCTCAGGTGCTGGGAGTGGTGTGGGCAGGTGGTTACATTGGTATGTATGCGTACTGTGCTGTACAATAGCTGAGCTAGTTCCTCCTGCACTGTGATAGCAGACAGCCTGACTACCTGAAGTGGACTATGTCATTCGTAAACTCTGCTTCAGTTCTTGTAGGAGAATGAAAACATGAGGATTTACACAAGACACCAGTTTGTCTGGAAATTAAAGGCCCCAATTTTGCTAACACTTGTGCAGATGGTTTTCTTAAGTATGGAAGGAGTCTTATAGCCTTTTATGTCTACAAATTGCATTATCAAGGAAAAACAGCTTTAAAAATGCTGAAGGGTCAGATCTATTTCATTAACTCTTTGATCTCCTTGGTTGAATGGAAGATTGGAAAAAGCAAGAGTTATCATTATTATCATTATGGTGCACATTTCTGCATATTTTTTTTTTTTTTTTTTTGCTGATAAGAAAGAACTCGTGAGCTGTGTTTTCATTTGTAAGTACATTTTTGAGCCTTATAAAAACAAGGTAGAAGATCTCTGTCTTGCTATACAATATGTTTATCTGTGAAAAGCATTCATCTCAAACACAAACTAAAATTTAATGCATCAGAGACATGTAAAATCACTACAAAGATTAAAGATTTGGTTCTGTAATTTTTGTAAGAGGTTCTGAATGATAATATTAAGTGCCACTGCTTTCAGAGCTAGTGGAAAAGAGCATGCTCTTTAATATCAAACAAACAGAAGATAAAAGATTTTTTTCAGACATCCAACATGAAAGACATAAAAATAAAATAAAATAAAAAAAGATGAAGCTGCACTTTTGAACATTCTCTCATTGACCCAGATCTTGTATGGCCAGTGGGTGTCCTGCAGGATTAAGCCTGCCTCAGACCTCACCAGGCAGTGCCATCCAGCTCTCAGGAAAGCCTGGAGATGCATGTATTCTTCATCTTGCTAGACAGCTTGTCTGGGGCACTGGAGAGCTCCGTGGGTCCGCATGGTGATCTGTGCTAGCCAGAAGCAAGGACACTAGGTGCAGACTCAAGGATTGTGCTGAGACAGAGTTGATAAATGGTGCTGGACATGAGATGGGGCTGTGCAGGTGGATTTTGCTGTAGTAAATTGTACGGTATGTCTACCTGTATTTGATTTTTATTTTTCAATTAATCATGAAATCTCAGATAACATCTGACCGCATGGTTATCCTGTGATATTGCTCAGTCCCCTTCGTATTGCTTTCTGGCTTTGAGCTCAGGACTGGGTCTGGTACAATACAACCACATGACAGCTTGGAGCAACATTGAAATAAAAGGTTTCAAGGGTAAAATTGCCATTCTGGATGTGATTGACACATCCAGTTGATTGCATTACAATATATTTGGTTGACAAGCAGAACCAATTAAAAAGTACCTGATTGCCCACGTACCTTGTTAGATTTCATCTCAGTGCACTTATCAGTGAATTACATCTAATTTAATGACAATGAGGGGGCAGTGGTGTAGGAGTATAGGGCTCACTAGTTCAAGTGTACAGGGGCTTGAATTATTCTAGCTGGAAGTAAATATTATTATTATTTCTTTCTTCTGTCAAAATAGACAGAATGCAAAAATATAGATTCAGTGCAGAAGGGGAGGGCATGATATGGCTGAGGAAACCAAGTTGACATAAGATGGAGACAGTGTCAACAAATGCCAGAAACTGTGATGGTGCTGGAAAACAAGAGTGAACAGCTTAAAAAGCAAAGTGAACTTTGTACCTTGAAAGAATGTGTCTGAAAGATGGCAATGAACTATTAGATGATTGCTCCTATTGCAGGAATAACATGATTGTGGTGTATCAGAGATTCTGTGACTATATAGAAATTATTTTGAAACCTTTTGCAACAACTTTTCCATTTTGATTAACCACAGCCCACTGAGTATGTGTTCTTCACACATGACAGAATTCAGATGACAGAGGCCAAGTGAAGAATGAAAATGCTGTTGATGACATTTTCCTCATTCAAGAATCCTGTCATTGAAAAACAGCCTCTTTGGGGAAAAAGAAACATCTCATAAAAATGTTGAAATTAGTGTGGAGTTTCTCAAATTAGTCTTAATATTATTTAGTTATTATGGAAATATTAATATTATTTTAAGATTTGAATTAAAAGCAAAAATTTTGAGAATACTTTTGATCTTTCATAAATATAAATTAGAACATTATAAAAAACTAATTTTTACTGAAAAAATGGAACCTTATAATTTTTCACCTTTCAACACAGGCAACTATTTTCTTCTTCCTTGTACATCAAAATTAATTGTAATAAAATTATAATCGAACTGCTAGATAATGCATTATTTTTTAATGTGATCTTAGGCAGGACTGAAGATAAAGACCCACAGAGTAGGTGAGATGAGTTGCTCTCAGACTCCTTTTACTTTGTTTAACTTGTGACTCTTTCTCATGTAGTGGGAACTTATTTATTGCACCTCTACACACCTACATGTAGGCATCTGCTCTGAGATATCTTAAGCTACAACCAGGTCTTTTGCCTAAAGGCTTGTTATCCTATCCAAAAGCTTCATTGGAATTAAAATATGTGTTGAGAAAATATTAGACTTGGAAGGAAGCTGCTATTTTAGTTAGTGAGAATTGACATGGGGTATTTTGTAATGTGGTGTGTCAGGGTGCAACCAGCTGATAGACTAAGAAGTGCTGTAACTATTTGTCTGTCTCTAACTTCTATATCAGCTTTGCTGAGAGGTGCTAGCCTGTTCTCAGACTCACACTGGCTTCATGTTCAGTTCCGTGCACTGTTTTGTGCCAAAGTACCAGCCTGCATAAAGCTAAAGTGGGGTTATTGCTGGTTTTACTGAATGAGGAAGTTGTGCCCATAGCAGCTTTATCACTCATAGATATGGTTTCAGCTTCTGGAACCCTAATGCTGGCAGTGCTAGAAACCTGCACAACTTCTGTGCACAACTTCTGGCTTTCACTTCAGGGATATGCTTCTAGAGGCAGATCAAAAAGTCAGTTGCTTCTGACCCGGTTTTCTAAGCATGTAAGGCTTTATGTCCAATAAGTTGGTGTATCCAGAAGGAGTTTGTATTTGAGAGGGAGAATGAAATGGATCATTTGAGAAAAAAAAAAAAAAAAGTTCTGTTTTAAAGGCAGAAGGTTGTATTAGCTGTCTTAGCCTGACTTTTTGATATGGCTTTTGAATGTAAGAAGAGGAAATGAGAAGGAGTGAATAATGAAATGTGACAGGGATTTCTTTCCCATGTACTATTAAAAAAAAAAAAAGCCTCTGCATTTTTTATGGGTAAGTTGAAGATAATGATAATTCTGGTTTGAGCAAATGACATAAATGTAAGAAACTTTTAAAGAATGTATCCAAGTTAGTGAAGCTTTAGCTCACGTGGAAAGCAAATTACCCAGCTAATGGGAGGGAGAAGGATTTTTGAACACCCTAACCAATTCTACAAGTTGCACTGTAGCCAAAAATAATATTCTGCCCTGCTTCTGTTATCATGGGGACCAAATACTCTGTTCTTTTGGGAATGCTGCATTAGTTAGTACAGTTATTTGACTGACATCATCAAAAGCGAGGCAAAGTAACTTCAACAGTAGTACCATAATGATTTAGCTATGTTGCTTACTGTACACAGGAAAGTCAAACAAGAGTCCACATGAATTCATTCTGACTCTGACCACTTGCAAGGATTTTGTGTGTAACAGCTTAAAAAAAGGCAAAATACTGTTTGTGAAATCTCAGTCAGAGTCATGGGAATGACTAGCAACAATCAACAATCTTTAGATCCGGCTCTTGTTGAGAACTACAAAAAGAAAAAAAATGGCATTAGACCTACAAAATAATGATCAAAGACTGTAGTACACTTAGAATGTTTTCTTTTATTTTAAATATACCTATTACAATAATTTGTTAGGCTTATATAGAGCACTATTATTTACATAATTCAGTGTTTATCCTTTGGGGTGAATTCCAGTGCTCAATAAATAAGAGTCAGTGAGCTGCTTGTTAACCATGTCAGGATCAGAGTTCAGAAAGATTAATTTCACATAAATGATGAAAGTCCTTGAAATGGTTACAGTTACCTATGGTTTCATACAGTAGGTATCTTCTGACTGCAGTCAAATTGTGTTTAAAATTCTGACCATAGTTATACATAATTAGAACAAAGATTAACAACAACATCAAATTAAAAATATACGGAAAAACATCAGTGGTTAAACCTCTACATTTTTCAGATGCATCTCAGGGTGACGATATTGTTCGAAGGTAACAAAGAAACAGTTTGGTAGAATTCCTGTTATAAAACATCATGGGGCAAAATATACAGTCACTAACAAATAAAAAATACAGCTTTTTACAATATTTCCTTTTGACATGGCATCTTAAAATGTGCCTGCAGATAAGAATGGTTTTCATTCTTTTATTAAAATTAAGTTTTCCATAGTTACTATTTCTTACACATGAATTATGCATTATGTATGCTATTTAAAACATATAAAAGATTAAGTTGTCAGTACAAGAAATATTATTAGTTGAGAACATGAATAAAGGGTTCATATCAGATCCCATTCAATGTTATGTGTGTAAGCTCAAATAAACAAGAAAGGAACTTTGGTCCTGATCTTTCACTAGGAGAGTAAATGTCCCATGTTTCTACATAGAGAACTTACTATCTTTACAGAGATTGTGCCAGTCCTGAGTGCAATCCCATGATCCGTGCCCAAAGTGGGTTTGAATCAGGACAAGCAGCTTTAGGGTTTTTCTCCTAATTCTTGTCAATATGTTTTGGAGGTCAAGTCTATGGCACATCATGCAAGTGGCTGAATATCTATGACATTCAGCTATGGCACCCAGTATTGTTTCTCCAACAGAGAGAAAGATAGGGAAATGCAGCTCATAACTACCAGGCATTTATCCTAGCAAATGTAGCATTATCATCATTATCATGGACCAAAAACCATTGTTTATTGACAGTATGCCTGTTTGTTCAACAAAACATTTTGAATTTCAGCAGCATTATAGCTTTGCAGAGAATAGTTTCTGAAGTACCTTGTTACAGTTTTGAACATCTGGCACATTTAAGACACCCACCCAGCTATTTAAACAATATTTTAAAGCAAAATTAATGTTTGATATAAAATAACAGTTGTGTTGTAAATGTGGAAAAATAGACTACAAAAAATAAGTATAAAAGTGATATCAGATTTATGAATATGTTTCATATATAAACAAGTCCAGGTGACTAGTCTGTGTGTTAGAAATGGCCCTTGACAGGCTGTGTCACAACAGTACATCACATTTTTCACAGTTTACATTAACACAGTTAGATTCACTATATGATGACACCTTATATAAGAAAAATAGTATTTTACAAACTATACATTTGGCATCTATTTTTAGATTTTTTTTCTGTTTCTTTGTCAGTTCCTTTTTTTTTTCTTTTTCCCTCTTTTTTTTTTTTATTTTCTTATAAAATAGTGCAAAATTACAGTGCATTAATAGAAGATTTTGCAAATCCTAATAAAAAGACATACATAACTTTTTATTTTATTTTTAAATTATTATTATTATTATTCACTGGAAGCAGTTTGGCACATTAGAATTTTGTATAGATGGAAAATCTTCTCATTTTGTTGTCTTCAGGATATCCACTGAATCCTTGAAACATTAACCTGCACCAAGGGAGTTAACTTTCCATACTTTTTAATCTCATTTAACATATGCATTACAAAAGGAAACAGCAAAGGAAAATACAGATTTTGTGGTTAAATTATTTACCGAACAGCATACATATATCAGACTGGCTTTTCATACCATGTTATAAGGAAAAGGAATATTTTCATTTGGTGACAGCTAAGTGGTTAGTTACAGCTTCAAGGCTCTATAGGAAATTTATCCCAATTTCAAAGCATTAGTTTATGGTATATCTTTCACATTTTGCTGTCGTGCATGTCCTTGTATATAGATCCAAACTGTCTGTATCAAGTCAGGGGAACAGGGTTTCATGAAAGCCTGTTTTATGCTGGACTAATTCATATATAGAATAACCAACAATTGCTTTCCCTGCCAATTTGCAATGATTAGATTATTTTTTTTTTTACTAATTATTTACTTAGGAATGTTAATGAAGAGTTCCCCCAGGTATGAATACTTCATTTGTACAGACAAGCACTATACTTCAAAGAAATGCCAATACTCTTGAAGACAACAGAGACTTCTGTGTAATCACAAACAGGTGTGGTGCAGGCTGCAGGACTGGGAGCACCCTAGGTCACTCTGTGCACTGAGAAATGCACAAAGATGTCATATGAGTTCAGTTCACATGACTTCAGTTCTTTACCTCCTTAGCTAAAAGTAGGAATGAGAAGCCTGGTCGAGATCATAGTATCACCTGCTAGAGGTTCCCAAATAGCCACCTGCACCAACCTACTCATAATTCAGGCAATTAACCCAGAGGTGAAAGGCTCTGACATGTGACCAAATCTCTGAACTCTTCACTGCACAGAAACTATTGGGTTCAGTAAATTGCATGGGGAATATGGCAACATAAAGGTTTCTCAATTAAATAGCTTTCCAATAGAGTAATTAAGTGACTTTTTCCAATACAAAAACCACAGGATGATGTCTCTAGGACTAATTATTTCTCATGAGTTTATGGTTTTATTATCTGTATCACTCTGTGGCATTTGTGCCATGAATTAAAATTACTACTGCATGGTTTATTTAATCAATTTCTTGGCATTCCTGTACTTTTTATGAACATATCTAACCAGTATGAATGTTACACTGATTCTTTGAAGTTAGAATGGGCTGTAGCACTAGAACCATTTATTCATATATTATAAGGAAAACATCCACAAATAAGAAGGTTGCTTTTTACCCCAGCCATTCCACTCTGGGCTCATCCTGTATGAATGTTTGGGAATGTCCCATTTGGGAATGTCCCATATCAGCTACTGACTTCGGTGGAATATTTGCCTGAGCAAGGAGTAAAAGATGAAGCTTAAACAACCATTTTGAATGAATTGTATTTGTATTGATTGTGGTCTAACATCCAAAAAAAACACTTATATCAGAAAAACAAAACAACAAACAAGAAAGTAGAATTGTCACCCATTGTTAATAAGAATACCCACCAACTGTTAGATAAACAAGTACTTCACCTAGATTCTCTTCTCAATAATTTACTGGTTTGGATGAAGGAAGCACTTGAATATTTGACTAACTTCCACCATTAGATTTAAAGAGGTCAGAAGCCTCCCTGTGTGCGCAGACACACTTGTGTTCTCTGTCTCTCCCAGGCTGTCGACCTCTAGTTCCTAAAACTCTAGTTTAGTATAAATCAGTAGTCCAATTAATTTACTTACAACTCAGTTGTTTCTGGTTGTATGCTTCTCTAAGATGAAGAATGCAAACATTTCCTCAACAGTGGGAATAAAACCATGTGCTGTTTTTCAATTATATGCCTTTTCTTATCCTCAGAAAGAAAATAAGAAGTAAATCAGGGGTTCACATTTAGATGTTCAAATAGCATTTGGACAATACTCTTAGATACATGGTTTAACTCCTAGGTTGCCCTGTGTGGAGTCAGGAGTTGGACTTGATGATCTTCATGGGTCCCTACCAACTCAGGATATTCTATGATTGTTCTATGATTAGACTCATTGCCTCTAGGACGTACTTGGTCTGGGTCAAATGAAGCAGATGTGACCAGGTTTTATACTTTCTTCCTAGGAGAATATTCTAAATACCATCTCAGCAAGCCTCAGCTCCTCTCACCTCTGTATTCAACATCTAAGTGCACAGCACAGGGAGGTTGTAAGGTGGGGTGCCATACTGAGTGGAAGATATGAGGTGATGATGCACATGTTATATGCTGAAGCAGAAGAGTAGGGCCAACATCTGATGGATAAGCACTAAGCTAGAATTAGTCTGAAGAGTTTTCAGTTTGGAGTAGCCAGTTTACTCACAGAATAGACTCATGGATATTAAAAGGAAACACAAGGCCTATGCTATAGACTGTGCTCTCTGGCACCATTCCCAAAGACAGTAAAAAATATACTGTTAGAAGCCCCATTGCATTAAAGCACTTAAGATGATTTTAAATTTAAGCATGTGCTTGAGTCTCATGGTCATATGCATGTGCTTAAGGTCCTTTCTGAATGAGGTCCACAAAGCATTGTTGCATAAGTGCAGAAAGATTTATTTCAAAATCAAAAAAGAAAAGATAATAAGAATTCTTTATATCAAATAGGAAATATGATTAGCATACTGACAGACTTCAGTCTTCCACCCCGAATGTTATTTTTTATCTAATAAAAGAGATAATACAACGCTAACAGGAGTGTCATTTTTGAATAACCAGTAACAGTTTTTAGTTATTTAACTGATGCCTGATTAGAGAAAATTATATGGTCCTTTTCCTTTTCCTTTTCCTTTTCCTTTTCCTTTTCCTTTTCCTTTTCCTTTTCCTTTTCCTTTTCCTTTTCCTTTTCCTTTTCCTTTTCCTTTTCCTTTTCCTTTTCCTTTTCCTTTTCCTTCTTCAGTTCCAGGTTGAAAGTGAACATAAATAGCTAGAGCCAGTAACCATCTGTTTACTGTGATCAGCAGTGCCAGTTACACAGATAGTGCTCAGTCTGCATGAAATCCGCAGCCCCACATACATATTCTAGCTCTCTCGGTCTTTCATTTCATTTAATATATTTCTTAAAAAACAAATATGTTGCTGGTTCTTTCTTGCACAGTCTGTGGGCCTCGCTCAGGCTGCTTATTCATTGCAATCACAGCCACCTTGGATGATAAGAGGCATTCAAAGAAACTAGGAACCCGAATTTGCTAAGGAAGGGAGATCTCACATTGAGCATGAGCTGCTATAGTCATTGAGTGTTGGTGAAATGAAAGGAAAAGTCTTCTTTAGAAGGATCTGCTGCCAGTTTGTCTGACATCTCTTCACATTCAGTGGGAGAGCAATGCATCTGCTGTTAGCATTTTATCTGTTTTGGATCTTATTTTCCACACTGATTAAGACAGTATAATGTTGATAGTTCAGCATAGCACAGAGTGCCTAAGAACAACCAAACGAAGGTATAGTAAAAGAAAGAATAATGATTACTCTCTGTCTTCAATGACTGACGATGTAATATGTGACAAGTAAGCATGCTGCTGGGTTACTTGGCCGGCAAATAAAATGAACTGACTGGCTAAATAAAATTGTTAAGAAAATAGTAAGAATTGATGTGATTTCTCATCTTTAATTTCTCTTTTATTGTACAAGTATCTTCTTTTGACAGTGGTACCATGGCATAAATAATGCCTTGTTTTCCATTTTATCTAATTCCGTGTAATTTTTCTTTCCATAATTAATTGTTTATGCCCATTCTCCTTCACAGGGATTTACTATTTGAACCCATTACACTAATTGTTCATTTAGGATGGCACATAGAAAGCATAAACAGACTGGAATCAGTCTTCTGTTAGTTAGGTGTGTAGGTCCAGGCAGATTGCATTTTTGCATGCATGAAGTCCAGATAATTTACAACCATTTTTTCCATCATTTACCACCTAGGCTGGATATGTCTGAAGATGTTACAGCTTCTGTCAGCAAAGCTCTTTACATTCAGGACTGCTTAAGTCTTGACAATACATACACGTAGATCCCCTTAAAATCTTCATAAAATGACTGACTCACTTTTGTTCCAGACCACACACTTCAGGAATATCAGTGAGACATTAGGGCCATGTCTTGTGTTAGGATTTGATCATGATTCTTAGTCATTTCAATCTGGTTTAAATTTCTCCCGTTTTATTAATCTTTGAAATAATTCAAGTAATGCATCCTCAAGGCAAAGTATCTACACAAGCTTGTGTAGAGTTTTTGTGACAAGAATGACTGTTTCCAGTTCCAGCAAAAGACTGTCATGTACCTTAAAATTCAGCACAAGATTAGCCACGCTGACTGGATCCAGTGCTCACAGAAGTAACAATATTACTTACAGGCTTAACACGTAGCATATATTTCAAAACTTTCCAGTGTATACTCCTATTGATCTTTTTAGTAACGAGTAATATATATTCCCATCTCATCTCATTATTGTGCTTACTTGTTATTAATATAAGAATTTATCAGATGAATCTTGAAGCCAAGGAATTAGTCTCCTCTGACTAAGGCCTTGTAATGCCTAGCACACCTCCTGCTATCTGGAATGAGGAATGAAATAAGAGACAGTACATGTTCACCAATGGGTGAATATACTTCCACTGAGGTCAATGCAAAGAATTTTAAAATTCCAGCATCAAAGAAATCAGGTAATCTAGCCAAAGCAGTGCCATATTCAGCAGCTGAGAATTTCACAGCCCTGAAAACAAAAAGTATGAAGAAACAGAAAGGTTTTGTTCCTGTGGGTAATAGGCACATGCCTTCAAAATGATAGAAATATTATTCACATTACGACAATGTCAACACTGGTTTTAGAAGACTGGGTTTCCTTATATTGCATAAATTTGCAAGGTAAGCCCATCTTGTTTCCTACTGGAATGCTGGTGAATTTAGGAGGTTCACAGTATCTTGTAAATTAGTTTTTTAAGACAGCAATACACAGTATAAATAAATATCTAAATGGAGACATAGGGAGAACACAAGTGTTTCTATAAGATTTTCAGAGGAGTTTCTGAGTTTAGAAATGTAAGTATATTATTCTTACAGCCTTCCATGTTTCTGTTCCAGCCTGGGGTAAACAAAGTATCTCATAAATCACTTTATTGTTTGTTAATCATCACTTACAACTTGATTCATTATTGCAGCACACTTGTTGTCTGCAAGTTTAATCTTAAGTACTTATCAATTAAATTGCTCGATCAAGGTCTTCTACATCACATAACTAGAAGTTTTTCCAGTTAAACCGTTAGACTTTTTTCATTCTTTTCTGTATGTAGCTTCTTTTACCAGGCCTTACTTTAGTAGCAGGACATGTATTTGTTCACAGTAAATGAAAAGCATCTTACACCTTCATGTTTCAAGCTTTTTACATGTTATTTTCTTTTTCTTAGGGATAAGTCTCAAAAGTTTGAACTCAATGTTCATCTGTTAACTATTGAAACAATGTACTAATTTTACCGTGTGATGCTTACCAGTGAGTTTGTACCTTTTAACATTTCTTTTACAACTTTCTGTAGTTTAAATAAAAGATAACATAGTCAGAAAAGAATTCACATTTCTAGTATGATTTTAAAACATATCAAAATAGTAGACACAAGATTCTGAGAACTGACTGCAACTCAGTAGAAACTGTACTCTGTAATATTTTGACCTAAAAAACTAAGCTGATTGGTTTTCAGTTGGTACCAAAATATATCCGTATGTCCTACATCATTAAACTAACCTTGTACTATACACAGCAATCCAGAATTTAAGTCTTAGCTGTTGAAAGAAAAAAAGTAATAAAATCAAATAACACACATTAGAAACAGACATATTTTGAACAATCATGACAATCATCACATTTCTGTATTTGTTATCAGAGCAAATTTAATACTTAAAAACCTGTTTGTATATTCAGATTTTGAAAGCATCTACTGTTCTTAAGAATGCATTTGTTTATACCTGTCACACAAAATATTTTCAGAAAACAAAACTCATTAGCATAATGAGTTGAATGGTTGAATATGTCATCTTGATAACTTATTTACTGATTTTCAGCATATTTCTTTCAGAAAAGAAACTTGCTACTCAGCAAGTTGTCCAACTATAATTACAGTTCAACAGATCTTTACAGAATTTGAGAGAAATTTAACAATTAAAAACAAAAAAAACAAAAAAAAACAACAAAACAACAGAGAGAAATTTCTAGAATCTTTTAACAAGCTATTTCTTAAAGGTTACTATTACCAGCTAAATTCAGTGCATGAGTCTACGCGATCAAATGCCTATATTAAAATCCATTTACTTCTGTATCAATATATCACCAATTACAGCCCTGATTCAGGTAAACAATACTTGATACACCAGGAAAATTAAGGACATGCTGCATTTAAATGCATTCAAAAGTTGGATGAATCGGGCTTTGATCACTACGATTGTTCATCTTGTTTATATCTGGCTTCTCTACTCTTTGGAGGGTAACAAACGTATTACTAAAGTAACTCTAGGAGCTGTTTCTTCGGAAACTCATCCTTTTTAGAAACAGAGCGTCTGCTATTGTAATACCTTTTAAAAACTGTATTTCTACATTCTGCACCCTTAAAAAGGGGTGCAATTGATCACACTGAAATAATGACAGATATTGAACTTCACTGTGTTCCTAAAATATAAGATGACCCATAAAAAAGTTACTGTTTTTTAAAACATTACACACATTTCAGAATAGAACAGAAAATTATGTTCGTAAAATTCTCTATGGCATTTAAGAGTTGTGTCCTCATTTTCCAAATAGATTAAAAAGCAAATAAAATCTTTAAAAAAAAAGGAAAAAAACAAATGTTAAAAATCACCACTTTATGTGCAAGAATGAGGCATACTTCATAGACAATGTGAAAAATCTTGTTTAAAAATTATAGTAAACAATCAAATATTCTTCAGTGCACATAATTAGTATGTACATTATAATTTAAAACTGAGTATTGATGACTGCTGCTCATGATCTTTAAAATCTCTTACAAAATATAAATAGGACAGCCAAGAGAGGATAGCTGATAAACCATGACATAAGGTTTTCTCTTCCTTCTTTTCTTTTCTTATTCCTTTCCTCTCCACTTGGACTAAAGATCCTTCTGGCTTCTTCAAAAAAGTGCACACGTACGTGCGCACACACACACACATACACACACACACACATTAATTCCAAAACCATTTTTCTAAATTTCCAATTGACTTGTATTCCTGGTGTCTTTTCACATGATCACAAGCAAGACATGCATGTGATTCCCAAAACCTAGGAAGATGCACCGAGAAATCCTTCTTCCAGTTGAAATAACTAAGGTACATCTTGTTATTTTTGTCAAGCATTAGAAGATATTCTGCCAGCTCTCTTGGGGAGAGAAAATCTTCCACGTGTATGAAAGAATCTGATGGAATGTAATTCTCATAGTTTTCTCTGGAAGGGCCCAGTACAACTGGTACTGATCCAGCCAGAAGGGCATTGTAAAGTTTCTCAGTAATATAATCTTTGTGGATTGAATTTTCAAATGAAAGGTAGAATTTACAAGTAGAGATAGTTGGAATTAAGTTTTTATCATTGACGTAGTCTCCGAAGGCTTGCCCATAGGTATGGATTTCAATGTATTTGCTAAGCTCATTGTAATACTTGACTCGAGCATGCTCAGGATTCCAGTTACTTACAACCCAACACACCAAGTTTTCTTTACTTGGCACTTCATATGTAAAGGAACTTGTACCAACCATCATGAAGCCATAAGGCACCTGAATATCTGAATCACGCCGATAAGTCAGGGTCAGGTTAAAAAGGTGTTCAATGCCACTCTTTTGAGGAGTATGTGTTGGAGACTCCAAGTTCATCCAAATCCATTTCTGGAATGGTGGCCTGGCTTGCTGAGGTAAATTAGTCAGATCCCAGCTAATGTCCCTGTGATGAATGAGAACTGCGTGGGATTTGTTATATAGTGAGCGGTCAATAGTCAGATGGCACCCATGGATGTTGAACATTGTTTGGCAGGATGTTAGATCAAATGTCTGACCAAATGGCCAAACCCAGATCAAAATAGTAGTCTCATTAACATTATCAGTTTTGGAAGAAAAGAAGCTCTTCATTTTCAAAACTGAGCTGGCTGATTCTATAGGACCAGAGATCCAGCTGTTTGTCGGTTTAATATAAATTAGTATAAATGCCATGAAACAACCAAGGACAATGAAGATAATCAAAAATGGCCGGAAAATTCCTTTAGATGTCGATGTCATAATTTGTTCTGAGAAAAAAAAAAAAGAGAGAGAGAGAGAGGAAGAGAAAGAGAGAAAATAACATCAGATATTTAAATCATATATATATGTCTTGTTAATGCAATCATGTCTTGTTAATGCAATCAGACATCAGACCCCAAAACGGACAAATTTTGATATCATTGACCTATAATCTCAGAAACTTCTCCTAAGTAGAGAAGGTATGTTGTGGGTGCCCCATCCCTGAAAGTGTTCAAGGCAGATTGGATGGTGCTTTGAACAATGTGGACTAGTGGGAGGTATCCCTGCCCATGATAGGGAGGTTGGAACTAGATGATCTTTAAGGTCCCTTACAACCCAAGCCATTCTGCACTTCCATGATTCCATGAATCCATTTTCCTATGAATCTATGTGATCTTGCACAGCATTCATGGCAAAATTTTGGATAATGGCATATTTCTCCTCTTCACATTAGAAGCTATTTGACATAAATTGAAAGTAGGGTTTTCATACATGTCATGCTTGATATATATCATATATATATATATATATATGTATGTCTTAATCATTGTATATCTTAAACAGTGTTTTTGCTTAAAACCTAGGCCAAGGATTTGAGACAAATGATTCTCTTTGATTCTCTTCTTGTGTGTCTGGGTGAAGGATAATATGATGCAGTTTTGGTCCATACATATTCATATGTATATATGTATGGAGGATACAGCTTTAGAGAAAAGAAAAAGGAAAGCACTGGAACTTTAATTCTGTTATCAATAAGACTGTCAGAAAATTAGCTTATGCCTGGTGGGTACATGGGTATGAACATTTGTGCCTTTTCCTGAGAACTCCAAGAACAGATAGGGAAGTAAAGCAGCAGTACAGGTTCTCAGCTCCCATATTCAGCGTCACAGTTCCCACATAAAGAAAAACAAACAGTAGTAAGTCCTTAAACATTTAGTTATGTTTTTATGCCACAGTCCTGTGGTTCTCAGGTTCTCAGCTCCCATATTCAGTGTTACATTTATTTTTTTTTTAATTAAAAAAAAAATCCCACACCTAAATATATATAAAATATCACTTTTAAAAAAAATAATCAGACAGAAAGCAAAAAAATAAATATATATATATATATATATTTTAAAATTTAAACCAGCTCATCTCATTTAACCTGTGAAATAAACAATTACATTCAGCACAAAGACATGGTAGAATGTTGTGAGTGTAAAAGATGATGCGTAAGCATAGCAGCACAGTTACAACAAAAAACATTTTCACATTCGTCATTTATGAAAGGGACACAGAGGGAATGTCATTCCTAGTTCTACACTACCACTATATCTTGAGGAAAATAATTTTCCACAATTTCTTCCCTATTTTGGAAGGTCAGATGGTCTTAATTTTCTGTTTTTAGGTACTGTAGGTTAACCTTGGCTGGTTGCTATGTGACCACCCAGCTGCACTCTCAATCCTTCTCCTAAGCAGGACAGGGGCAGAAATTAAGACGGAAAAGCTCACTGAGGTAAGGATAGGAAGATCACTTCTCAATTACTGTAATGGGACAATAAAACAGACTCACTCTGGGGAAAATTAATCTGATTCATTGCCAATGAAAATAGATTTGGATAGTGAGACCCCTCCAAAGGGAGCAGAAGGGATTGTTAATGGGGACTGAGGTCAGTCTATAACAGCTCCACCACACCACTCCTTCCTCGCACTTTTCCCCTATTCCAGTATATGGGCTGTAGTCTTTCTATAAAAAAACGCTGGTCCAGAATGGGGTTTTCCACAGATTGCAGTGTGGATATCTGCTCCATCATGGCCCTCTCCATGGACTAGGGGGAAATCTTTGCTTTGGTGCCTGAAGCATCTTCACTTCTTCTCTGACTTTGGTGTTCATGGGGCTGTTTTTTTTTTTTTTTTTTTTTTTTTTTTTCTCTCATTCCTCACTGTCTGTCTAGTGTATTTGCCTTTCTTAAACACACTTTTTCCTAGGCACTGCCATCCTGGCTGCTGGCACCAGCTGTGCCCAGTGGCAGGGTCAGTGGAATTGGCTGGAGTCCAGCATGGGGCAGCCCCAGCCCCTGCTCACAGAGGAGCCCTGTAGCCCTCCTACCCTACGAGTGCCTGGACGTGGACAGCCAGTAGAGATTTTTAAAATCTTTTGGTGTGTTTAGTCTGACTCCTTTGTCTCGTCCTCTTCTTTTGGACATAGATTAGCAAGTCCTCTATGCTTTCAAGCAAAATGATCCTGACAGGAGTAAAGGGGAGGAATGTTTGTGTCCATAACTTTTCCACTTCTTTTCATCAGCTCAAGTTCCTCTGAAGGAAATTTGTGGTTTTACAGCTACATCACACTGGCTTTTTTTTTTTTTTTTTTTTTTTTTTTTTTTTTTTTCCAGCTTATGTTGATTTTTGCTTGAAATACATCTAGAGGGCAGTTTATGACCCACAAGAGCAGAAGGTTCTTTCCCTGCCTTTCTATAATGACAGTCTGAGCAGGGTCTCTGAGGAATAAGGGATTTAGGTTGAACAGCTCTAGGAGATGAAACTCAAGTTAAAAACAAGGGGCTGAACCAATCTTTATGTGACTGTTCTTAGTTTCTCTGCTATTGAAACCAACACAGCTTTTCACATAAGAGCTAGTGTGAGCTGAGTTTGAAGGATAGTTTGGGAAAGGTGTCTATTCACAGAGACTGATCATTTTCTGGAGACTGAAATGGCCGGCAAATCAGAAAAGTACTTTAACATTGTGCCTTGTAATGCAGTCACCCTCCGGTTAAAAGCTCACAAGGCTTTCATTGCAGGGATTATCTTACACCAAACTCATCTGCTAACTAATGAACCCCCCTGTATCATCACAAGACAATTTCTGCTACATAGGAAAGAGTCAAATATTATTTATTCTGTTCTCTGCAAGAAATTATAGTGTATTCACGGTGCAGTATTTGTGTAGGAAGTTTTGAACTATAATGTCAATGTGAGGATAAACACTTGCTGCTCCAGAATACCAACATTAACTTCTCACGACACTAAAAAAGTAAATTAACCTATTTTCTGTCCTCCAAATCTGTTTCCTCACATTGTTTTGGTGCCCTCTACTTATGTGCCCCCTACTGATGCGGGACCGTGGTTCTTAGAATTTACCTTTCACTGAAACACTAGCTCACAGACAGGAAAGTACTGTCTGGTTTTACATCCTTTGGGTTCAGAGAACTAGCCATTCATTACACAGACTCAAACATCTATTAGGAAGCTACTGCTAACAGGATTGTGGAAAAATGTTACAAAAGTAAGATGTTAAAACCTGGAATGAGAGGTTTGCAAGGAAGCAGAAGCCTAGAGCAGAATTCTAGCAATACCACTTGCTTATACTCCAAGGAGCTGACAGGATTTTGTGGTAACTGCAGTAATAACTATTAAGATATTCACTGGGAATAGCAATATTTTTTTTTGCAGAATGAAGTGTTAACCTCAGAAGCAATAACTTCTGCCTTCCTTAAAGCAGACTGAAGAACCAGCAAACTCTGCCTTCATGGCTTTTGGGACCCTTAGTTCTATATACAGGGAGGCAGTAGCACAGTGAAAACATACAGCAAGCACCTGTCAACAAATAGTATTTTCTTGCGAAGTAGCTTTTCTATAATGCTAGGATATTAAGATTGGTTCCTTTGTTTGCCCACTAGAATTTATGGAAGATTTATTTTTCACAATGTTCTTCAAAATGCGTTTTCCATATTTAACATTTCCTTCTTCCTTTTTGTGCCTAAGGTAACTACCAATCTCCTGCTGTAGCTCTCACATAAAGGTGACGGACACTAAGGAGACATTCATTACAAGACATCCAGCCAAATAACCTTAGCTCACCCTTCCTCTTTCATGGCTTTCCTTCCACCACGGAAGCACAAATTTCCTTTTTGCAGATCCCCTCCCCCATCAACCTCTGGCATGCCAGCCTCTGAAAAGAAAACTTTGTCAAAGAAATGTGTTTACTGAGACTATTGCCAACTGGAAGAATTCATTACCTTTGATAGTTTCATTATAAAGTACATTTCTGAGTGTTGTGACATAGCGAGTATCTTCTAGGTGCTTTTTTTCCTAGTTGAAAGTATAATATCTCATCAGTACAAGGCTATTTTTCTCAGTACAAAACTTAAAACTTTAAAGTGCAAAATTTGGCACTACATCTGCAAGCAACTCCACGTAGTAGCAACACAACCAAGGAGATAGTAGCAGGGTACTAGCAACATTAACCCTAAGTACACCAGGCAAGGCTTGCAAAAAATATATCTATTGTGTGAATGCATCATGTTCACAAAGAAATAAAATGGAAATTTAAAGGAACTGTTTTATCATGGCTCCTTTGCAATGGTGATTTCTTAGTTACTCCAGAAAGGATATATATATATATATTTCTGATATGCAACACTGCAGGAGGGAGAAAAAAAGGTAACCTTCCTGGTCAATAATATCAGTATCTGTTTTTCTGGCATATCTTTATGCTAGCTTCACTGGCATACTATCAAAGTCTTCCCAGTAACCCAAATATATAACTACTTGCAGAAGTATAACTGTCATTACTAGTCTAGTACTGAGATCTTCCAAAGGCTTAGTGTCAAGGTCAGTCCTATGATTTTTATAATCCAAACAAGCTGGCCACTGCATCCATCAAAAAAAAAAATGTCAGCACTGGCAGTCACTGCAAATCTCCTAGAAGAGCTAAGATGGCTTTCTGGAGAATTTGAAAGTGTGAGGGAACGTTTTGTTTCCAAGGGTGGAAAGGGACATTGAGGACAGTATTTTAAAATTAAGCTGGAGCAAAGGGACAGTGTTATTTTTGAAGTCATGGACACTGAATAATGAATAAAGAACTCTTGTTACTTTTCTTGCCTTACTTAAAATCCTGAATTGTTCAGGGCTAATTCTTATCTTTATCAGCATTTGGTTTCAGGAGAACTCAAGAAGAAATACTTTAAAGCCTCTGGTGATCACTCCTGGGATCAGATTGGGCATCTCTGGCACAGAGGATTTA